TACAACAATTAATTTAGTTGTTTTAATTTCATTCTTTCATTTTCTCACAGTGTTTTTAAAAGCTCCCAGCGAGGACAGCCCTTGGGACAGCATGCAAGGCGGGTTGAACTCCACATCAGTTGCTCGCAGAAAGAGTCTCAGACCGTGGCAGAGCACTGTGACATGGAGGTGAGAGGAGATCAGCTGCTGGAGCTGAGACTACGCAGGATTGGGTTTTTTGATTTTTTTGCCTTTTGGGGGAAAAAATAGATTCAAGAAATTCCAAGGCAAAATCTGCTGACTGTACGGAAGCTGGAACTACTGACAAAAAGAAAACAAAAAAGTGTTGGTCCCTAACTCTGACCTTCTCCATCTTGCTGAAGTCTGCTCCGCTCCGCGGTGCTTGCTCTGAAACCTAGGCAAAAGGTTTGCCCAGGCCAGGAAAAGCACTCTGGTGCCTTGCAGCTCATTTCCATGGGGAGTTAAAGTGACTTCCAACTACATGAATAAACAAAAGGAATTTTTACAAAATAGCTTCGTAGAGAATTTATGCCCAGGCAGCATCAGAGGTGCAGAATGAACCTCCCTTTGCTCCAAATACCCGCAAAATCAGGTTGAGATGGAGGTTGTTTTTCCCCTACGTCTTTCCCTTCCTTTTTAGTCTCTTCCTGTCAGGAGAAAAGATTGATTGGAAATGCAGAGCCAGGCTCAGCGTGCTGCCACCAGGTCTCGGGGTGCTGTTGAACCGTGACGCTTATTTATAAAATTGTACATAAAGGGAAAAAAAGAGGTTGCTGGAACGGCGTTTATCTAAGAAGCTTAGATCTATAATTGCTTTTTTCCCCTCCCCTCTCTCTGGGAGGAACAAAGGATAAAAAGGGCTTTGAAAAATCCTTGCAAATAGGAGCAGGGAATGATGCTTACAGAGACGTGGGAGATGATTTCCTTGCGAGTTTTAAAATGCTTTGCTCTGTTTTAAACTCAGCCGGCTTGTCCGTCGTTAATCCTTGCTCCTCGGAGCAGCCTCCGGAGAGAGCTGTCTCTGACAGCAAACCCTCCAGCCAGGGTCGCTGCCGGAGGAGGGCGGGCAGCCCCCGGGGAGACTGGCTGGCAGCACTGGGCACAGTGGGTGCTGGGGAGTGTCTGCTGCCAGGCCAGAGGGGCAGGAGGTGGCGCGGAGGGAGGGAGGGAGTGAAGGAGGGAGGGATGAGGGAGGGAGGCAGGGAGAGAAGGAGGAGGGGAGGGAGGATGGAGGGAAGTCCAGGTGGGGAAGGGGGGAGAGGGGAGCAGCCGGCCAGGACACAGAGCCACCCACCGAGCTGCCCCGTACCGGCACACAGCCACCCACCGAGCTGCCCCGTACCCATACCCCTGTGCACACCTGTACACACACTAACTGCAGTCCTGTGTGCACACCCCCTGTACCCACACAGCCCATGCCCACCCCCTCATCGACTGTTGTGCACACACCCCTGTACCCATAGCCCCCATGCACACCCCCCTGCACACACTACTGCCCCCCCGCACCACCACACACCCATCCTTGTCCCCCACAGGCACCCATGCACACACATCCTCAAGCACATCTCTCCACACACGTGCACACACATCCCCAAGCACACCTCCACACCTCTCCATGCACACGCACCCCCCACACACACCTCCATACCCCCCTGTGTGCACAGCCCTCACCCCAGTAGGCTGCTGGTCCCCCAGACACCGGCCATGGTACAGACCAGGGAAGACCAGGCTCTGTCACCACCTTTGTGGCCACCACCCTGGTGCTCCTGCCCATGTCTGCCCAGGGACATCTATCAGCAGGGACTAGCAATGACCAAAAATCACTTCCCAACAGTGGAAGCATCTAATGAGGCTTTTTTCCCCCCACTGGAATAACTGGAAATTTGAAGCAGGCACCACGTCACTGGAGATGCCTGCAGCCTTCGGCACGTGATGGTACAAAGATCATGCAGAAGCAGCCCAATCTGCTCTCCCTTAGGTGTTTAAGTCCTAAGTTTCCACCTGGAAATTCCTTCCTTCCTTTTTCCCAGACTCCAGGTCTCTGAGTGTCTGCCCTTGCTATTAAAAAATAAATCACAATTACAGCCTCAGGGCTCATGACTAGCTCTCTTCTGGGTTACCATCTTTTTCCAGAGTCCATGGGCAATTCTCCCAGCTGCCCAGTGGCTTTCAAAAATACTTATTTCAAGGCAAAAACTTGCATTTCCTTTTTTTGGTTTCCCCTTGTGGGATTTGTCGTAAGCAAAATTTCCCGGCCCCTTGCTTGTTGGTGCAGGCAGGAGCAGGTGGAGTTACCCAGCAGTGGCCATCAGAAGGACGCACACTGGTGGGACGCACACGTATGCACACACCGGCAAACAACCATGTGCAAGCAAATGCAAGCACAGCGTGGGACTCGGGTAGCACACCTGCACACACCCCGGGATGATCCACGCGCGTGTACAAGCATGCACAGCAGGTGCGCGCGCACACACACACACACACAGAGCGTGCACACGCATTTGCAGGCAAGCACAGACATGGCCCAAGATGCACATGAGCGTGATACATGTGTACGGCATATACCTGCACACGCCACACACGCACACACATGGACTCGTGCAAACATGGGGCACACAACACAGGCACAGCAAACACATAGAAAAGCACAGTACACACCTGCACACCTGTGTGCAAGCACACAGCCCACAGGCACGTGTATTTACAGCAAATGTTCACAGCGTGTACATGCACATATAGACATGTAATGCAGATGGCACGTGCATGCACACACGGGCACATGTACAGCATGCATGCGTACTGCGTGCACACAACATGCAGATGTGTGCAACAAAGCATGCACTTGCAGGCACAGGCAAAGATGCAGATAGATTGCATGCACACGCACAGAGATCAGCTGCACGCATATGCGCAGAGCACACAAGCATGCACACCCCTGCAGCCCTTCCCCAGGCAATCAATGTTCACCCCTCTCTGAGCGCACCGCCCTGCGGCCAAGCAAAGCTGACGGGGATGAAGCGTGCAAGCCGGGCTGGCCTTCAGTTTATTTTACTTAAGCATGAACAATAATACCAAAGTCTCCAGTAAAACTCCACTCCCTCATCACATTGCAGTGTATAATGTGAACTAAATCTATATTAACAAAATTAATACACTTTCACAGTATAAAATTAATATAGCTAGGAAAGGGAATTTTTATGACACATTCAGCATGTCCCCAAGCGTGTCCCCAGCTGCTGCTGGGAGCTTGCCTTCACCTGTCCCCCCACATGAAAACAGGGTCCCCTAGGTGAAACAGGGTGTAACCCATGACAGCAGGGGTAGGGGGGCGGGGCAGAGGCTTTGGACTCACACACACCTCCAAAGCTTATCTCCTGGTGAAAAAGAAAGCATTGGCAAACGGTTTGGGGACTGAAAGCCCCGAAATCAGCCATTTTCCTCCTATTGTAGGAGAGATGAAGGTGCCCGTGTGATGGAGGTGGATCGCGTCATGCTGGACATGGGGGAGAAGCAAGGGCAAGGGTCGCAACCAACCTTGGGGAGCGCTTAACACCATGGCAGGAGCAAGACATTGGCACCTGCACCTGCAGAGAAGTCAAAAGAGGCCGCCCCCCCCCCCCGCCCCCCCCCCCGCGCCACAAGCGCCAGCCGCC